AAAATTATTTCTGTATGTATACTCTAACTGCTTGTGTATATATATATAGGCCTCTATATATCTATCTGATATATCTCTGTGTGCAAGGTGGGATGAGGTGGGGTAACGTGGGTAGGTTCGGTTTGGTTTAAATGAAAAGGTTTGAGATGAAATGACAGAATAAACCTTATTGGAATGTATAAAATATTTAAGTGGGACAATTCTATATATGAAAGTTGAACTCCAACCTTGGAATGCATAAAATATTTAAGTGGGACAATTCTATATATAAAGGTTGAACCCCAATCTTGAGGGTCTCCACTGTTCTGCTTTTAGAGATTTGTGAGGAAGATAAATCGTGGGATGTATCCCAACAGGTTAGGGAACAAGAACTGCATATACACTGGATCTACAAGAAATCTAATTTCATGTCTCAAGAATCGAACCTCTACACTGCGACTGTCAGTAAGGTATGAGATAACATCATTCTTGTCCTTTGCACCATTGGGTTATGCCCCGAGGGGCGGACAATTCTATATATGTATACGTGGTAGGATCGTCTGCTCAAATTACGACATCTCGAATCTCGAATCTGCAATCACAACGATCGAACACTGAGTCAACAAGATAAAGAAACGATGGGTGGGGACCGAACCCACTCAATGTTCTAGGTTCCGTGATTTATGTAGATGATCATATTTCTTGTGCATATAGAGTCATTCTAATTTTTTCAAACCAAGACACCTCGACGCTGAGTAAGTCCAATGACCCACACTTTACTCTGGTGCTTACTTGGCATTCGATGTGTCGTGATTTTAGTGTTCCTAGTGCGAATTATCGTGATTGAAATGAATTAATCTACTAGACGTGCATAAGAGCCGATGAGTATTTCTTGTATCAAGGGAGAGTGAGTCTTTGGGAGGGCAATTTAGAGAATGACAGAAATGGTTGTGGGATTTTAATGCTTGATTAAGAATTATGTTAAAAGTCTGTGTTTGATTGTTTGGTGTGACGAAGAATTTAATGCGTTTATTGACTTTCTACTATGCTCATCAGCACAAATTGGTTTTTTCTTCTATCATCTGTATATTTTTGTACTCGTCGTATTGAATATTTCAATATATAAAATTCTCGATTTCACTAAACGAGAAAAATAATTTTTGAAATAATAAAATAATTTGTTGGGGTTCAAGTTTGATTTTTCGTTTACTTGTGATCCAATAGAGAGGCATGAGATAAATTTGTTAATTAATCTTCTAGCTAAAAATTATCGAATATGCAATGATATTTATTCTAAACTCTTGGAGCATCGACATCCTTGCATCGATTTCTTTGTCACACATATTTGATTTAAAATTTCTTATTCTATTTGAAAATTTTAATTAATCAATTTTGTGAATGTAGAGTGAAAAGACACGAGGCTATTAATAGTGGCAATAATTAATTTAGGGATAAAAGTTTCCTTTGCAAGAATAAACAATAATAAAATTGATTTTATTTGATATTTGGGAAATAATAAATTGATTCAATGGGGTGAGTTGTTGGGACAATACTATTTATGAGAAGCTGCAATATTTGGTGGCTATAATTAATTAATTGTCTAATGTTTCGTGTTACTCTTTCTTTACAAAATATAGATATTTAGCTATTGCTTGATGGCATTAATTGAAAACATTTTTTTTCATATGTTTATTTTTAATCAGAGGTTCACACAATAAAATATTTTATAATAAATTCAATTTTTTTGTTTTTAATCACATTCTCATTAAAAAAACTACTCAAAATATTATTTTTCTCAAATAATAGTCATCAAATAGAAGCTTAATCAATGAGCCCCATCTTTTTTAATACATAAATTTTGTAATAATGATTTTTCAAAGAATGTGTGATTACAAAGAAAAAAATGAATTTATGTGTAAAATTATTTTATGAAAATTCGTGTGATTGAAAATGATTTTTAAAAAAAAAAACGAGTTTTTAAAAACTGAGGCTAAAACAGAGACTTAATGATTCAAGGATACGACTTAGGTGTGAGATCAGCGGTCGTATTTGGCTGATATATCAAAAGGGATCAAATAGCCCTTGTTTGAGCCCTATTATTATTATTATTATTTTTTTTTTTTTTTTTTGGGAGAGGGGAATGAATTTTTGAATAATGTATTGATGGAAAATGTGTAGTTAAAAAATAAGAAAGAATTTTAAATTTGCGTGTGATATTATTGTATTGAAGAATGTGTGGTTGAAATAACATTAAAATATTATTTAAAAATACTTTTTTTTTTCCCAAAAAATGAGGCTCAAAGAAGGGCATAATTTCCTCTTCCCTTCTGAAAGGAAGCTTAAATTCAAATCATTTTTCTAGTAAGAGTCTGTTTGGGAGTGATTTTAAGAATTGATTTTTTGACCGTTAGAAAAAAGTAAGAAGTCAAACATAACGACTGAAATAATGAAATAATGGTCAAAAAATCAATTTTTTGAGAGAGAGAATCACTCACAAACAGACTCTAAGACTTTTTTCTTGCTTCTTGAGGTAGTCCTCAATCTTGGATGGACATAACTTATGCTGCACAATTTTTAAGAGAGTTGGTAAAACCCATAAAGCTTATTTCTTTTATAATTTTATCAATTTTTCTTTTATTTTCAGAAATATGAAAAACAACTCGCAGAAATCACGAGCTACACTTCAAAAACATGATCGATATAGCTCCTTTTACATCTCTAATATGGTTTACCTTTAGACTTTAAAGAATTTTGTGGATTATTTAGAGAACCTACAACCATAAATGAATCTAATTTGATAGGAAAAAAAAAATCCATTGGTCACCAAGACAAGAAATTCCAATGCCGTATTACATTTTGGCAAGATATTATAAGTCAAATTTAGTGTCGGTTCTTTTTTCGTACAACACTCAACCCACATAAGTTAATTATAAGTATTTTAAAAAAAAAGTTGTTTACTTGTTATGATCCCAAACATTAATTGGCACATTTAGGTGCCCCACTTATAGCCTAATTTCTTGTTGGGGATGAAACAATCCACCTTGAAATTTTATCAATTGTTACCATCCAAACATCACATCCACCTTGAAATTTAATTCTAACTCCGTCCATGAACATCCTACGATTTTTATTTATTTTATGTAAAATTGTTACGATGTCAAATATTTTGTATAATAAATTTCTTCTTGTTATTCCAACAGCATTAGTAAGTTGTTCTTCCCTGAGACAATTACTTTTGTTGAACTGTTGATCGTTAATCATTACCCACCTAATATTTGTTGCAATCCCACAATACCTAAAAGACAAATAATTTATATGATTTACTCATCATTTGAAGTCAGTTATCAATTTCGTCATCAATCAATAACACTGACTGTCAGCTCGTGCGACTTACATCAATCTAATTACGAGTATCGTCATCTAGATGATGGTCTTAATCGAAGACCGTTCATTATCATTGCCAGTAAATTGTGTTGGCCAACACAAGTAATTAAGTGTCAGCTATAGTTAATTGACTTGTAAACTATAATTATTGACCTAAATCAGATTTCATCAACCCAACTACCACTACCAGTCTTTGTCAGTGAAGTAAATCACCTCGATGCAATCTCGCTTTCAAAGGATACAAGCCATTTCTGATCGAAGATCCACCTCAGGGTATAAATTCTTTGTTGATGGTAATCTCATCTCATCTCCGTCAACATTCTAATGAATTCCCATAGCTTCTCAAAAGCTGGCTTGCGCTGGATTGGTCCATACCTTTGGCAGGCATTGCAGCTTTTAGCATGTGCTATGCCATCAGCTCGACTAAGAGTTCCGAATCGAAAAAGTATTCTCCTCTTTCTTGTGCTTCCAGTACCTCTACTATATTTTGTTCTGTTTACTAACTCGACCTGAGGAAGAGGCTCATTCTCATAGACTCCCAATTCTCCTAAATTTTATCAAGACCATAGTTTTGGACCTGTAATAGAGACTTCAAATCAAAGTAACCACATCAAGAGTAATAAAGCATTAGAACCAAGAGACAAAGATTTCGACACCCCACCTAATAAACTAAGATATGCATAAATTTCGGACTAACAAAACTATTAAAAGGCTTTGATTAAATAGGTATCGAAACTTTTGATCTATTTATTTTAACGTGTGAATATGTATGAGAATATCTTATCCGCTACGTTGATGCAAATACAAGCACAATATAATCTTAATGTATTAATGAGGTTGGAATCAGATTATTTTATTATATAATAGAGATTATTATTTTACTAAAGATAATTTATTCTATCAATTCTGGTTAAGACCGAGAAATTTTATTATATAATAGAGGTTATTCATTTATATGAATTCAAGCTAGTAAACTTTTAAACTTCACCGGCCCAGCCCACTCTGAGTTTGGACTTAACTCGTTTCGGACTCGAACCATAACTAAATTAGTTTTACAAATTGGTCACCAAGATAAGTGGAAATTGCATCCCACTCTACTTTAAAAGATCAATATTCTAAAATTAGGGGCGAAGGATTCATCATTCAAAAATCAGATATTTCATATTTAAATATTAAGGGCCTGTTTGGGCCCCATTTTTTCACCCAAAAAATTGATTTTTTTGACCGTTATTTCACTATTCCATTATGTCGTCCACCTCTACCGCCTTCTATACCTACACTGTTATACCTCAATATATCAGATCTGCCACCACCAACAAAAAAAAAAAAAAAAAACCCAAACAGGCCGCTATCGCTGTTGTTGCCACCTACATCGCAATTGTCACCACAAACAACAAAGTTTCTAAACAAGCCACCGTCGTCTCCGCTCGTACCTACACCTCAATACACTGCAAATCTACTAAATAACTCTCGACCCGCATCATTGCTGCACGTTTGTACGACTTCGTGTGTAATAGGCGTGCTGCCGCCATGAAAGTAGACTTGTTTCCGTGCATTCCACACTGGCCATTGTCGTTGGTGGAAGGACGAGGATCGAGGGTTTGCTGTGCATTTCGATTTGCCTCTAATTGATTGATTCGATTGGGAGAGGGGCATGTCGCTCTTCGCGATGGAGGTAAGTTGTCGGAGATCTGCTCACCGGCTGTAGAGGTAAGTCGCCGAAAAGAAGAGAGAAGGAAGAGGTAGAGCGAGAGAAAGAAGGGGAAAGTGATTAGGGTTAATGGTAGTGGGTGGGTAATGTAAATTATATTGATTTTATAATATTATTATTAATATTAAAATTTTTAATTATAATCTGATTTTTGAATAAACAAACTTTCCATATGATTTTTGAAGTGAGATCTTAAAAAATATGGATGGGTGTAATTTCCACTTATTTATAGTTGCAAAATCAGTTCAGCGACAAAAACTGTCCAAATTTTCATTAAATTGTCATGTAAAACTCAAGAAAACATGTTACACTTCAAATTTTTGGATAGTAGTCCAAGTTCGTAAACGAAATCTAACTTTATAAAGTTGGACATGTGAAGTTCTTGACAATTAAATAGAAATTTAAATTGTTTAAATCATTGAATAAATGTTGTGAGCAGCAAATCCAACCTATGGCTCGAGACACTTCATATGTTCAGAACATTTTACTTTCATTGATTTTGAGTCGAGTTTAAATACTGCGGATCAATCAAAACTAAGTCTTTACTCGATATCACTCAACAACATTTATTTTGAGGTCGTGAAATATAGTACGTAATTACACTTCATGAGTCAAAAAGTTTTCCTTCACAAAAATAAAGAGCCTCAAGAAAGGGTGCCGAAAGTTTTGTTGCAACAATAAGCTTATACGGAAAGAGAATCATTTAAGAATGTTATGTTACATATATTTCAAGTTAAGCAACAAAGAGATCACATTGCCACAAACCAATTCATCCAGTATTTGTTACATAAAACCAACAAACTGTCTCCTTAAATTCTTCAAATCCACATATAAAATTACTGACTACAATAAACACAATTCTAGACGATGGCAATAAATTTGCAATTTTGAAACTAAGCCAAACAGGAATCCTCTTCAGTTGCCACTCTTGAATGGGATAGCTCTAATGATAACCTGGTGGTAAAGGGCAGCGAGTGCAGCTCCGATGAAAGGTCCGACCCAAAAGATCCACTGAAGAAAGACAGAAGTGACACAAATATAAGTACGGCCGGGCGCCTAATCATATGTCATGAACAGGTAAGAACATAGTCTATGGAAGTTACAGACGTAAAACTTACATGGTCGTCCCAAGCGTGATCTTTGTTGTAAATGATGGCAGCACCAAGGCTTCGGGCTGGGTTGATACCGGTTCCAGTGATGGGGATTGTTGCCAAGTGAACCAAAAAGACGGCAAACCCAATTGGGAGTGGAGCTAAAATCTATGAAATTCGAAAAATTAGTAGTCATCAAGATGGCATCCCACAATGAGATTCTAGTTATGGCACAAATCATACAGTTGAGGCCAAGTTAAATCTGCAAAATTACTCGTTTCTAGTTTGACCATGAAATAGAAGAAGAATCAAAGTGCAAAAGAAAGTCGAATCAGCACTTCAGAATTTCGAATCAAAGTGCTCGAGCACACTATTGATTGACCAAATCATTCCATCGTAGCCCAACATATCTTTTCAAGAACTCGAATTTCAGATCGAGCACAATCAAACAGAATGCAGACCGGGTCTTGCCCACTCTCAATGAAGAAAGTCCAATTTTCCCAACACAAACATAATCTATAGCCGACGAGGCAAGAATACATGGTTAAAATATCTATGATACCTTCCTCAGCATAAAAAATAATACTAATACTAAACTGCATTGAAAGTAAAACACTTTTCAAAATCACGATTAAAAAGAAATACTCACAGGGACATGCGAGTCTCTGGCATTTCTCTTGGCATCAGTAGCAGAGAAGACAGTGTAAACAAGAACAAAGGTGCCAATAATCTCAGCACCAAGTCCATCACCCTTAGTGTAACCATGGGCAACAACATTAGCACCACCACCGTTAGCCTTGTAAAAAGAAGGCCCGAAGCCCTTTACGACACCCGCGCCGCAGATTGCGCCAAGGCATTGCATCACAATGTAGAAAATTGCCCTGGTCAGAGACAATTTCCTTGCTACGAATAGACCAAATGTTACTGCAGGATTTATGTGTCCACCTGAAATTACCCATAAAAAATTTCAAATATCAGCACATGAAAAGCTCCAATAATCTTTAAACAAGGGCATTATAATCACTTATCATAAGTTCTTTTCCAGAAATTATATCAAAGATTTGGCCTTTTTTTGTATGAATTATAAGTTGAACTCATATTTGAAGAAATATTTTTTGCTTAGCATCAAGGAGAGTAGAACTAAAAGAACAAAAACCATTAAATTTTAGCAGGATTTGAAAAAAGAAGAAGCAGGGTTTAAATTCTGTGACATTCAAGACTTAAAACTCAAAAAACAACAGCAAATTATCACAAACAATAACAAATTACTCTACTTTCCATTTGCCAAAATCCCATGAAAATGAGGGTTCAAAAGTATTAGTACATTCTTGTCTTTTTTGGAGGATAAAATCGTCTTGTCCAATATTGCTACCAAACAGTCGAGACTCTGGATTTACTTAGTAGTATATTCTTGGCATGTTAGAAGATCAATCTTGTTCATTATATTATTTAGTCTCATCGTATACTACGTATTAAACAGGCAAGACTCTAGTAATAGGACGTTCTTGTCATGTTTAAAGATCAAATCTTGTTCACTATTCAATGTTGTCTGGTATTGCTTACCAAGAATCTAGATTTACTTAAACCAGTGGTACATTCTTGGCATGTTGTCAAATTTTGTTCATTATACTATATAGTTCCATCCAGCATGCAAGACTCGAGATTTTTTTAAACTAGTAGTACATTCTTGGCATGTTTGAAGATCATACTTGTACATTATGTGATATAATTCCATCCACTTCTACACACGAAACACACAAGACTCGATATTTACTTAAGCAACAGATTATAAAAAACAAAAAGAAGCCGCATACTTACATTTTTCAAGATCCCATGAAAATATGGACTCATAATTAGTGGTGCATTAACATTCTTGGCATGTTCGAAGATATAATCTTGTTCTTTATACTACTAGTTCCATCTAATACTGCATACCAAACTAGCAAGACTCTCGATTCACTTAAGCAACAGGTAGTAGAACTTAGACAGAAGCTGCATGCTTTACATTTTCCAAGATCCCATGAAAATGAGAACTCAATATTAGTAGTACTAATACATTCTTGGCAAGTTCGAAGTTAAATCTTGTTCATTATAAATCCAGTCCACTACCAAACAGCAGACCCTAAATTTATTTAAGTAACAGAGAACAGAACACACACAAATTGAGAGACAGAGACCTGAGATGCCGGCAGTGCAGTAGACAAGGGCAAAAATCATGCCACCAAAGGCCCAAGCAATGCCCTGAATACCCACAGAAGTACACTTACTGTTAGACCTGCTCACACCCATTACAGTCAAGATCGTGATATAAAGGAACAAGAAAGTGGCCATAAACTCAGCAATCCCAGCCCTCCAAAAGGACCATGATTGGAGTTCACCAGGCTCAAAAAGTGGAGCTGGAGGTGGCTCCTTGTAGTCCTTGCTCTGTGCTGAGGTACCCAATGGCTGCCTCTCTGTGAATTTGTTGGCTCCTAGCCTTACATCCTCCTCTTTACCCTCCATCTCTCTTTGAAACTCTTGCTTTCTCTCTCTAGAACTCTGCAAAAATGGCAAGAAAAATTTGGAAAAGATTATGGGTTTTATTAGTGAAAGAGTGGTTTATACTTTTTTATATAGAGGTATTATTATTTTATTTTATTTTATTTTTTTTATATAGAGGTATTATTATTAGATAGATAAATGGCTATTCTTGAAAGTTTTGGATATTATTTTGTGCCCTTGATTTTTGTCATGTATATCATTAACACCCTTCTACTTTTTTCTTATTATTATTATTTTTTTTTTGTGATATTGGATTTTCATTTTAGAGTTATGGCACCATTTGTGTGACAATGTGAGCATAATAATATAAAAATAATATTATTCTAAATTTAATACTTTGATATTGTTGAAAATGAAACATTGCAAATCATGTCTACGTAACGCGTATATGAAATCATTTGATAGATCCTTTGTTTTGTTTCGAAGTGTATCAATTGTACAGTGCATTGCAAAACTTGTCAAACATATTGACCTGAATTTTATTATTAATAAGGTTTAAGACCCTTAATTTATTTTTCTAGCTTAGTGCTTTTATTGTTTTCAAAAATTATGGAAGTTTAGTCCTAATATTTTATCATAATTTATTACTCGTGATATTTCTGTTCTTTGAGCCTTATCAAATTATATCATAAAATCAAGATTTATGTTTTTATATCTAAAACTCTAGAGTACGGACTCGTAGACACTCCCAATTACCAAAATATAAAGGACCAGAATGAAAAATATTCAAATTCATGTAGGTGGGAAAGTATATCAGAAGATATGGGAGTGAAAGTAATAAATCAGTAGAGGTTTGGGGGTAGACCAATTGAGTGGTTTCTGGAAAGTGTAAAAAAAGACAAATTGTAGCAGTAAGATTTGCTGTCTTTATCTTTTTGCAGGGCCACCCCATTATTCTACTCTCCATTTTCAGCTTCTTTAACCTTTTAAATTCAAAACTTTAGCTTTCTTTCTCATTTTAGAACGAAAAATATAGTCGTTACGTACCTTATATAAAAAATAAAAATTCAAATTTAGTAGTTTAATATGATGGATAACAGTCATATTTTTTATTTTAATGAAAACCAGACAGTGGCTTAATCAATCATCAGAGGACAAATGTTTGCTGTGCTCAATGTTTTAGAAAAAAATATAATTATATAAAGAAAATTAAAAAACTTGTACCATTGAATCTGATCAACATATGAATAAAGAAGACCATACAAGAGTTGAACCAGAGGCCATAGAGCTCCATTTGCACGTTGAGACTTCAAATCTCGAGACAATCTTGCTCAGCCTCCAAAATGAAGGAAAACTCGTTTCTCATCCCGTATGTACATCGCTTGTGACTATATTGAAAAGAAGGCGTCTTAGTTGCGGCTCATGCTCAGGTTCTTTATGTATTATACCTAAGAATATGAGAAAAATATGCAAGTAAAACTATCATTTAAGTGGATTAAGATATCGTAATTGTTACGTATTAAATTAATTATTATTCACAAGAATTTCGTGTCATCACATGTCCACAAATCTCTACATATTTGCACCTCGACCATCGCGGCATATTGAAGTGAAAAATGCCTTGACTACAGAAGAATCATTCGACAACGAAAGGTGCAAACCATAACACTTGGCAATAATACAAATTTATCCCTTGGCCACTAAAAGGCCTAGAGGAGTCGAATGTGGGCAAAAATATTATTGCAAACAATGAAACAATCCATATAAACTGCAATAAACTCATACACTCACACATCGAATTGCTCGGCAAATGTCACAAAAACACGAACATCAATTAAATATTGAAAATTGTACTTAATCATGACTTTCAACATAACGAAAAACAAAGCTCATAAAAATGACCAAAAACTCTAAAACGCCTTTGTAACCCCATATTCTATTAACTTTTTGTCAAAATTTACTTAAAATATATGAATTATCTAAATCAAAAAAAGGAAAAATATAAACTTTAAGAACAATATAACAATTCTCAATTGGTATAAATTTCTTTTCATTGTGCTTACATCTCACCTACTATGCTTCTATATGTTTTGCTTATAATTTTGTTAGAATTGATTATTGAAATTTTTTGATTTGTAATATGTTGTCAATATACATTCATCGTCATAATTTACAGTGCATTCAATGCATCGAACACATTAATAAAATTTCAGTTCTCGACTTCAAAGGCAAGAAGTGTGTAGAGACTAGGGGACCAACATAACAAAATTCCTTTTGGTTCCACCCCTAACTATTCTATTTTTGTTCAATTTTATGAGTTAGAGCTCACAATAATTCATATGTTTCTTGTCATGTGTATACTCGAGTCGCTATACAACGATAAATAAATTTTAGATCTTATTTTTAAATTATGTCATGTACCACTCAATTCAATCTATCGAATATATCAAAACTATCGAATCTAGTTACAAGATAAGAAGAAGTGGATAGAGACTTATCATGGAATTGAGATAAGGAACCACAACATGTTGCAATGGTGCCGCCACCTACTCCGCCACTACAAACCACCACAAACTAACATATAAAAATTTGCTGCTTTTATACAGCCCCTTTCAATAGGGGAGCGCCATGTGGCGTCCCTGTCTTTGAGCCTGGTTTTTAACCTAGCTCAAAGGCCTTTTTTAAAAAAAATTGTAAGCATTAGCCGGCGAAACATCTAATGATGCAACTTTTATTGCCCTTTTTTTGCATTAAATTGCGAGGTGGAGAGAATTGTAGGGCCTCTTTGACAGCCCACAATCATTATGTAGTTCATATGGATAAAATTGTGTCACTGATGTTTTTTTTCTAAGACAGAACCAAGCTAATTTCGGAATTCACTTTAACCTTTAAAAATCAAATTATTTATTTTAAATTTTTTTTGATAAAGTTGATAAAATGATGGTTAAAAAGATGTGACTTCTATAAAATGTATAGTTAAAGTTAATTATTGACTTTATCAAAAAATTTATTGACTTTTTAAGCTATACCAAACCGTAACTAAGTAAGGATGTTGATAACATATGAACTTATTTGCTAAAAAGGCCTATTGGCACATCATCTTTTGCTAGCAAGTGGGAAACTATCAACACAGTACAGTACAAGTAAAATCACCTTTGAAATGCTTTGGCTAACAAAAGTTGATTTGTCGTAGGACTGGACAAAACTTTCGAATCGAACGAACCGATTCTTCTTAAATTAAATATCTCAACGGATATTTAAATCGCGAATCGATGGGTTCGATTCGGTTCTCGATTCTAGATCAAGAACCGAATCTCCCTAATTTTTTAATTTATTTATTTTAAATAAGTCAAATTATTTTATTTTTTTTAAATAAATTTGTTAATTAGTTAGCAAGAGCCCCTGAAACTAGAGCTGCTTGTCGTTCCAACAATGCATTTCATGATTTTTCTATTTCTAATTTTCAGTCTAAAGCCAACTTAATCAAGACATAAGTTCTATCTAAATTTTTTACTCTATTGCAGTGACATTTCTACCGTTACCGAGAAATGGAATTGAAGCTTGATAACGATTCTCTTAATTATTTTTTTTGAGCTCGCTATCTTTCTCTTTTTGTGATTTTAACAATCAAATCTATTAAAAACTCAACAAAAAGAGACGCATAAGACACATAAAATTGGACTACGTAGTTGAATTAATGTAACTTTGTAAATATAAATTTTTTTAATTATAATACGAAACCTGAAATCAAACCAAACCGAACTGAATGGAACCGAACTCGAATGGTTCCATAGTTAAATTTGGACCCAACGGTTCCAATTACTAAATATTTGAAAATTTTGAGTCCGATTCAAATCGAATCAGATCATGTCCAACCACGATTTGACCAAATGTCTAAAAGTAGCAGGGACATGGCGGTGACGTGTAAAATTCAAACACAACACAAGGCAGCAGGGTTTTGAGGAAATTGTCATGCAAATTGGGGCGGGTAAGCTTTAAAGTGGACCTTTAAATGGGCTGATTGATGTGGGCTTGGACAAATCAATGGGGCTTGATTTTATGGAACTTGAATTTGGGTCTGAAATGGCAACAGCCCACGGTTTAATCAAACAAATTTACCATGTAAAGCCCAATTAAAAGCCTATCAACAACAGAAGGGCACAAGCGGTTCTTGCGTTGGAATTCTATTCTCCTTCAGCAGTCAGCACCAAGCAGGTAAAATCTGGCTTGATGTGTTGACGCAACCTACATCGATCTAACGTTATCATCTTCTACCTCCTTACAATTGTTTTTATACCTTTTTTCCCGAAGTTTTTGTTTTTTTTATGATATCAGCATGTATATACTCAAGGATAGAGGTGGTTCTATGTTTTCCTGTGTTAAAATGCAGCCTATGTTGTTTTCCTAAGGTGCAATTTTCACAAAAAGACACTTTAGATATAGAGTCTTTCCCAAACACACCTTTCTTATAAAGGATGTGAAGGCCCTTTTCATCTACATGAGCCAATCTCTTGTG